AAGAGGGGTGAGAGAGATAGAAAAAGAAACCATAAGAGTACCTCTAGGCTGGGCGCGGTGGCTCACGCCTGTAATCCTAGCACTCTGGGAGGCCGAGGCGGGCGGATTGCTCAAGGTCAGGAGTTCAAAACCAGCCTGAGCGAGACCCCGTCTCTACCAAAAAATAGAAAGAAATTAATTGGCCAACTAATATATATAATATAAAAATCAGCCGGGCATGGTGGCTCGTGCCTGTAGTCCCAGCTACTCGGGAGGCTGAGGCAGGAGGATGGCTTGAGCCCAGGAGTCTGAGGTTGCTGTGAGCGAGGCTGATGCCACGGCACTCACTCTAGCCTGGGCAAGAAAGCGAGACTCTGTCTCAAAAAAAAAAAAAAAAAAGAGTACCTCTAGCAGAAGCCCCCTCATGTAATATGGGCCAGCAGAATGGAGAACCACCCAACAAATAGAATGTGTATGTTCAGACCAGGATTCTGCTAGTCAGGGAATGCTTGGGACTTGATGTACCAAAGAATTCTTCTGGACTTATTTTCTCTAGAAGAAACATCAACATCAATTATTTTCCCCTAATTCCTTTCATTGGATGAATCATCTCATTAATTTCTCACTTGCAATATAAAATTCAGGCATGAGTGAGAATGGCCTACGTAAGATTTTCTTGAAAAAAAGAAATCCTCATCTACACATGAAAATAACATTTCTCACTTGATGATATAGCATCAATTTCTCAGACATTTGATTTTTTTTCCTATTCATTAATATCCTCATTTTTCTGTCCATACTGCCTTTCTTTTATCTTAAAACATTTTTACAGGCTAGAATTACTAGGAAAAGCCCTTAGTTCATATTTAATTTTAAGTCTATCCCTACTTAAATTCATATGCCATAATATACCAGAAATTTTGCTAGACTTGTCATGCCATCAATATTAACTTTCATTTAGCAAGGGTTTCTGTAGAATTTCAAGTTCACAAGCTGGTCTTCAAATGCCCCTCAAACCTTATACGTATTCTCTCATTCACCTGCTTCCTCATTTATTACGAAAATATTGAGTACCTATAATGTGCCAAAAACTACATAAGGCAATGTCAAGTCAATATGGCTCAAAATAGACATGGTCCTTGCTGTAAGGAACTTAAATGCTAATGGCAGAAAGCAGACCAAATATAGGCAAATAAAAGAAATGTCAGTTGAAATGAAAGGCATTTAGTAGAAAAGAGATTAAGACAGAGAATTACCTAGGGATGAGAATCTACTTTAAAAATGATACCTCTAACACAGTGACACTTAATATACACAAGATTCCAGATGTAGGGAATAGTATATTAAATTTCCTCACGTGTTAGAGATCTTGATCCATTCAAGCAACTGAAAGAAGATGAGGAGAGTGATGTTTGCAAGTGGAAGAGGGATATGGTATGAAGGTAGCATATAGATAAGGCCCTTGTGAGGTTGGGGCTGTACGTTATAGAAAAAGCTTTCATTTTTATTTTAGAGACCAGAACTGTGCAATGGAAGTATAAAACAAGCAACATATGGCAGATATTTGTGTAAGTTAATATTTTAAATTCATTTTATTTAGCTTACTGTATCCAAAATAGTATGATTTTAAGATGCAAAAATTATGAGTGAGATATTTTCTTAATGAGATTTTTTTTTGTACTAATTCTTCAAAATCCAGTGTATATTATACTTACATCACATCTCAGTTTGGACTAGGCATATTTTAAGCACATGTGGCTAGTGACTACCGTATGGAAGGGAAAACTATTAAAGGGTTTAAGCAGGAGAATGATAGGATCCAAATTACATTTTCATGTTACTTTGCTGTTATTTATATAATAGAAAATACGGAGTGGAAAATGAGTGGATGAAGACAGGAAAACCCGTCTGGAGGCCACATTATCAATGGTGTCCTATGGCTGCTACCACAAAGTACTTCAAACTGGCAGACTTAAAACAGCAGAAATATATTCTCTCACAGTTCTGGCGCTTAGAAGTCTGAAATCTAGGTATCAATGGGAACATGTTCCCTCTGGAGACTCCAGAGAAGGATCCTTCCTGGCCTCTTCTAGCTTCTGGCAATTGCTGGCAATTCTTGAAGTTTACTTGGCTTGTAGATGCAGCATTCTAACCTCTGCTTCTGTTTGCACATGGTCTTCTCTCCTGTGTGCCTGTGTAGGTGTGTCCAATGCCCGTCTTCTTATAAGGACACCAGTCATACTGGATTTACAGCCCATCCTAATCCAGTATAATCTCATTTTATTCATAGTTTGATTATATCTGAAAAGACCCTGTTGTCTCATAGTGTGTCACATTTATAGGCTCCAGGTAGACATGAGTCAGGGGGTAGTGGGGGAGTACATTATTCGATCAGTACGGAGGGAGGCTACTGGAGTATCAGGGTGGTGGTGAGTGCACACCCAGCACACACCTGTGCCCTTAACGCCCCTGCTCACTCCTAGGTAGTGCACTGGGGTAGTGGCAGTGGATGTGAAGTGAGGAAGTGATTGCGAAATAAATTTTAGAGATGTAATTAATGGATACGCCGGATGTGAGAGAGCAAAGCCAGCACAATCTGGAGGATATTTTTCAATCGCAGCTTCCCTCATGCCCTTCCTGATCAGTCACTGACTGCCCAGTGTTTTTACCCTGCAAATTGATGTCCCTAGCTTCTAGAGCAGGCGTCCTCAAACTATGGCCCGCAGGCCACATGCAGGTGTTTTTGCCCGTTTTTTTTTTTTTTTTATTTCAAAATAAGATATGTGCAGTGTGCATAGGAATTTGTTCATAGTTTTTTTTTTTTTTTAAACTATAGTCCGGCCCTCCAACGCGGTCTGAGAGACAGTGAACTGACCCCCTGTTTAAAATGTTTGAGGACCCCTGTTCTAGAGGATCTAACTCAAAGCCATCACTCTTATGTCCTTCTTTATTAGGCGTTTCTTAATTAGCTTTATGATACTGATAAGAGCATGAAACTACAAGAAATGGATTAGCCTGTCATAAGCACCAAAGAAATCAAATACATATTTAAGTCACTGTTAGTGAAACTTTGCTTGTATTTATATGTAGTGCAATGCACTCTTTGAAAAATATCTGGGAGCTAGAATAGTAATGCTAGAATTGAAATAGAAAGCCTAAGTCGATCCTCATTAAAAACAAAAACAAAACAAAATTCCACATGCTTTGCATCTAGAATACAGCATAAAGGTATCTGGGTAATAGTGACCCTCGTGACTACGATCTCTAAAGATAATAACCTTTCCCATTCACATTGTTGAGCAATCTATTTCTTTCTTGAATGGAATGGCCAAAACTCTTCATAAATCTAGTTGTATTTTTAGTTTGTACAATCTCTGTTAGGTATTCAGTTCCATAACTTTAAAATATGCAGTGTCATGATTTAAATCTTAAATTATTGTAAAAATCACCTGCAATCTAGTCTCAATGTGGTAAGGGAAGCTGGAGGATGTCAGGGAGTTTTCTGGTTCAGGTATTGAAAAATTGGATGAAAATAAATATGTTACCCAGATGTTTATTTTATCGATTTACAGAAATCTCTTCTTTCTGTTTGTCTTTGCACTTTTGACCCACTTTTAAAACCTATAAACCTAGAATAAACCCTCCATCGTTTTGTCCTTTTCTGCAAATATTTAAAACCTCACATTGCTTTTCCTGATGTGCAATGACCAAAAAACTGAAAGATGCTAGAATTTTATTTTTATAATTCTCCCAATTTTTTGTTACATTACTAATTTTTCACAACAAAAGAAAATATTAATAAATTTAATGTTTCCTTGGTAGCTTCTAGAAATTTTAAGTTCTATGAGAAGAAACTTTATTTACCTGGTTGTGCTTCTTTATAATTCTATGATGTTTTCAGCGATATACCCTCACTAAAGGTGGGGGTAAAAATAGTATATATATTTCCTATACCATCATCTATTAATTTCTGTTAATTTTATTAACTAATATATGTACATTTCCTTTTATTATAAATTCTAAAGCAAACTACTGCAAATAGTCCCTCATGTTCTATTTTCTGAAAGTTCATATCTTTTTCATCTTGTTGAAATTTCACCAACTTCTATGTAAGTAAATAATAATTTAAGATACAGTGGATATATTTCTTGAGACTATTGAGTATTTTTATTTCAGCTTGGTTTACTGCACTTAGTTTTATATGCATAATTTTTAATAGCTGGAATAAAGGATAACAGAAATTAATATCTAAGGTAAAAATTAATCATGTAGATTAATAAACTGTCAGAATTTTATATATTGCTTGTAAGTGATTTGTTAATCACAGAGTATCTAATAACGATACATAAATACAAATATGTTCTAAGATAAGTCATAATAACTGTCAGTTACTTAACTTCCCACAGCATTTGAGGCTTCATTTTAAGCAATCTTAAATTGTTTACATAGTAAAGCAGAATGACTTAATAGAGTCTGCAAGAGAATATAGGCAGAATGAACATCAAGACTAGAGTTTCATTGCCACCTGCAATTACTAGCTGTGTAAGAACTATATAAAGGACATATTTCTTATGTTTTCTTAATATGTGGTGTGGAGGCAGCAATGCTATCTGTAAGCTTTTATAAAGAGACAGAATATCTTTACAGAAAGGGCAGTAGGATTTGGAGCAAAATCGTATCATTTTAGTTATCAAAAAAAAAAAAAAAAAAAACCAGCCACCAGAAAACATAGCATAAGCGTTTGGTCTTGGATTTAAGCAAATCATGTCTCTAACATTCAACTCTGGTTCTGGTCAGTGGCTCCTGTACTAGAAGAAAAGGTGCCTAAGGTGGAATAGGTGTGACCTGAAAATTAAAGCTCTAAATAGTTAAGCAAATTTGATTTTCACCAACAGAGCAAAGTGTATACACATAGAGGACTGTGGATTGCACGCTAATCAACTTTTATTTATTAGGTGGAGAAAATTAATGTAGAAATATATGACTCACCAACAATGTGTATTTTCTTTTTTATTTTGCAGGAAAAAGTCCGACATTTACAAAAGGCTTTTGCCTCCAGAGTAGATAAGTCTACACAGACTGAACTTCTAAGCTATGATGTAAGTAGCTATGTAAAACCATTTTTATCTTCTTTATTCGTATTCAGACCTCCAACAGCTTATTTACTTCTGCTGTGCTATGTCCACGCATTGATTTAATAGGATTTAGTGGTGCACCATTCATCTTTTGCTCTTAAACAATCCCCAAATACCTTCTGGAACTAAAAAAGATAATTACAGGCACCAACTAGCATACCAATGTCTTATTAATTTTTTTCTTAAACCAAGAACTCTAATATAGTCTTCTGAATTAGTGAATTTGCAGACATGTAGAAAATATGTCTTAGAATACTAGGGCAATTTATTTTTAAGAAAGGCTAATTTATTTATTAACAGTTTAATAACGTTATTGCATTTGCAATCACCAAGGGCCAAGGACATCATTTTTACATGCAGACACTTAAAAGGAAACACAATTTGGTAAGAAAATTTGCAATAAAATTTTAGCTCTTGGGTTTCGGTGGAGGCAGCAGAAAGTAATTTAATTGAACATTAGTATTTTTTTCTTCATGTGAAATACTTGTTGAGCTGTCAAAATAGAATTGTAAAACACGTTTTAATGTAATATTGCTTCTAGTAACATTGGATGATTTTGGAAAACTTTGATACCTATATATATATCTTAAAACAAGGAAAAGGGAAAACACATTTGGACTCCAATATTCCATTTTGTTTAATTTAAAGAATGATATTTGGGAGACAGAAATCTAACTCTCTGAAAGACTGATCATAAATATAAAATTTGAGACTTTTATGTAACATTATCAGTTCTGTGTAGTAGTATTAGTGACGTCTTGTGAGAGTTGGTTACTGAGAAGTGAATTGTACCTCTAGGGAAATAACCAAGCTATGTAGAGTTATTCTAACAAAAGAGCTACTAGCAGCCTCATGTGAATTTGCCTATCTGTGCCTCATAATTTTCTTATTTCTACAAATTTCTTCTATTGATGTTATTTAGTTCTCTAAACATACAACTAAACATAGAAAATGAAGATTAACTTTAATGAAGTTAATCCTCATTAAATCATTATCGTTCCTACCTTGTTTTCATATGTGACAGTGATAGTTTAATACATTTTATTGGATCAAATTAAGATTAAAGAATAATACTTTTTTGATACTGAGTCCTTAATAATCCCCTTGTACAAGTGTACAAGCGTTTGTTATGACTTGGTTAGTTCTTAATGCAGAGTAATAATCTATTCTAAGGATTTCATGCTTCAGACTTCCTGGTGATATATTGTAATCTGCAATCATCAGTATTAGCAAATTAATTCCTAAATATGCATATTGAAGTTTATGAAAGTAACTAGATGTAACTATAGTAATAAACTTTAGGGCATTTTGCATGTGAAAGGTGGGGGGATATTTTAAATAAATCAGAAATAAGTAAAACATTTTAAGTATAATGAATTACATAACTATTTGGAAACATATGATTCATCAGTGGTATAATTTCTTTCATGACCAGGATATATTTTCTATACTTTTTAATATTTATTTATAAATATTTTCATATTTTTTATGCAATAAGAATTATTCTTCTTCAATTTATATTTTGTTGTCTGTTATTAGTAAATATAATTTTACATTATTTTAAATTTCACAAATATGGTATATATACATATGCCTATTGATAATTTGCAAATAGTGTTTATCAGAGAAAGAGTAAAATCTTGTGAAAATCTTGTACATTATGGATGATTCTTATATTGTTGCTTTCTTCCTAAAGCATCAATATTAGCCACAAATTATTCTTTACAGATCATTATAGATCATGTTTTCTTAGTATGAACGTCAGAATATATGATACTATAAGTCATTGTTAATATAATTTCCTTGAAAAGATAACTGTTGTTGTACATTTTTCTTAAGATAGAAAATAGAACACCCAGAAAACATTAATTATAATAATATCTATTAAAAATCTATTACTGTGACTAAGTTTAAAGGTTTGTACAACAAACTACTTCTATCTGGTAACAGATTCGTCAAGAGACTTGAAAACTAATGGTAGTGTGCAATGTGTGCTGATTTCTAATGCCCATTGCGAGAATTTTTAAAAAAATAAATTCACTGTGTCTCAGCCCAGGACTATAAACACAACAGTTCTTCTGATGAGGGAGATTGTTAAATAAATGATGAATGTGTCTTAAAGAATCAATGCTAATTTAACCTCTTCCACCTTCCTCTGTCTGCACAGAGTTAGTTTATTGAAAGAACAAAGAATAATTTCTTAGGTGTCACCTGTGTTATTAAAACAGGCTAGAAGATGAATAGATATGGTCAAGTAGCAATGTTGCCCATTACAAGATTACATTAAGAGGTAGGGAAGTTTTTTTCTAATTATATCTACTATATAAATAGATGCTTCAATATAGCATATATGCTGTCTATAAATATTTTATAGCTTGAACTAATGCAAAGAGCATTTTGATTAAAATATTTGGAAGTGAACAGCCAAAACACTGTGAAGATCGTATGTTCTAGCAGTGAAAAAATTCAGCTACTTTCATTAATTTGACATCTTTATGGACAGCTTGTTTTTTGAACTTCCTTTTTATGTTCTCCAGAAGATTGTCTTTTTAAATGTAGTTGATTGACTTTAAAAGTGTAAATTTTCCTTTCAAATTGACTCAGAATAGTCATAGGATTTTAAACTTTTTTATAGAGACAAATACACTAAAATTTTACATAAAGAAGGTTCTTTCATTGGCATGTGTTTTAAACTTAATAAGAAGTATTTGTTAGTCTTGAACTTGCAATTTTTCATATTTTAAGAGTTTTGAAGTTATGAGATATTTTTTAATATTTTAAACTATTATTAGTTACTGGTAATGTAAATATCATTAGGAGTTTTCATTTGACTATTTGAAATTAACTGAACTGTGTCACCACACATATTATTTTATCTCATTCACGTTGGAATAAGGCATAAATCAGTTTGCTAAGGGATGCTCATATTACTGTTTTTCAAATATTTTAACATACTTTCCAAACTTTGAGATTAGCTTTACAAATGCAGTTTTCTACTTATATGCCAGGAAAATAATAATACTATTTGCATTATGAATACACATCTTGAAAAAACTTTCTCAGTGAAATTATCTCTGTATTTCACAATCTCTGCTACTTTTCTCAGATTTAATTTTGGTGGCGTTCTGGGCGCAGCTAGTGTGCAGGGAGTTCTAAAAAGTATCAAAATAGTTTATCATGCCATATTCACATAAGAATAAGAATGGTTTGTTTTTTCCATAATTGTTTTGTTAGCTATTAGATAGAACAGATGAGTTTTTTGTCCTATGCTAATATATTATGTCAGCCGATGGTTTAAGCTCAATTCAAATAACTGAATAACTATCAGTTAGACTCTCTCATCCAGCTGCTAATAAACTGTAGTTTATTGAAGCTTTCTGTTTGGTTCTATTCATTGTTTCCATCTTTCTTAAATTCAGTACTTCTCCTTTGCATGTATGAATGTGCCTGACATTTATTAGGAAAAAAATGTCTTCCCTGTCACATGCTTCATGTATTTATATTAGCATTATCTCAAATATTTCTGTCTATTTTTTACAAATTGAAAAGAAACATGTAGGCTTAAAAACTGAGTTATATATTCTAGGTTTTCTTATGAATTATAATTTTTCATATCGCATTAAAGAGAACTTCCGGACAAGTTTAAAACATGGGAAACATGACCATCAACCACAGGTGCTCATTAGCATTTAATGGAGGAGTCACAGCTTACAGTGGTCTTGTCCTAAAGACATCACTTTTGAAACTCCATCCATGTGCTCATCCAACAAATGTTATTAATATTAAGGGACCTGTAGGAGCCAGGCTCCATTCTAGGTTCTTGGGATACATCCTTTAACCAAACAAAAATATTCCTGCATTGAGCTTGCAGTTGTTGAGGGCATACTTAGAATAAACAACAAGCATAATAAATAAGCACATGGTATAATGAATTAGAAAGTGGGAAGAGCAATGTGAAAAAGAAAAAAATAGCACAGGGAAAGGATATAATTCTAAGGGTATGGGGTAGGGGTTAGGACTATGATCAGAAATTTTAAACAGGGTGATCTGGGCCAGTCTAAGGTGGAGACATGAGACCTAAAGGAGGTGGAGGTGAAAATTACACTCGATTAAAAATCCTTTTGTGATGTGTTCCTTGAAGACAGACCTCTTGTGCTTTAAATGTATGATTAGACTTCATTGTATATGAGAATACCTTGTTTATCAGAGAAGGTGGGCCAATAAATGTAAACAAATATAAGAAACACTCAGTAATTACTTGGTGGAAAAATAAATTAATTAACGGACTCATGTTGTTTTTATAATTCTAAAAGTCTGTAACAAATTAGTACACATTTTTATTTTATTCACAAAAACATATAAATGTGGATATTGCTATACTACATTATTTTTCTATATTATTTTTTTATATCCATGAAGTCTTTTGAAGTGACTACTTTGTGTCTTTTAGAATGAAGTTTAAATACAAATCAGCGTAGACAACCAGCGATTTTAAAACATAAGTGCCAACATGCAGTTGTTTTTATAGCCTTGGTATTGAATGATTCTTTCTAAAATCCTGAATCTTTGTCTAGGAGCCAGGTCCTTTCTGGGTGGCCTCCAACTCTTTAATTCTGTGATGACTACATAGAATTAGTATTGGTTAAATGACAACCCTTTTGTTAAGAGAATTTGTGGTTGACATCCTTATGGGTAAAATAGCAAGTCTAGTTGGCAGCTATGGAAGTTCTTGTAATTATAAAAATATTCATTAAACTAAAACAATAAAAGAGCACACGGGAGAGGAGAGTGGAGGGAGAATGCAGAGTTGCTTGTCAAAGGGTACAAAGTTTCATTTAGACTGGAAAATAAGTTTTGAGATTTATTGTACAGCAGAGTGACTATAGTTAATAATAATGTATTGTGTATTTCAAAGTAACTAAGAATAAACTTCAAATGTCTCACCACAAAAAAGTGAAATGATA